CTGTGGTGTTGTAAAGTGATTAGCCTCCAACTAATAAAAATAAATGAAAAAAAATAGAAAAAACTGGAGTGACTTGAAAGCAAGTATATACTATGTGATAGAAAAGATGTATTAATAGTTGTCGGGATAAAACCTAGAGAAGCAGAGAAATGGAAAATAGCAACTCAGCTTAATGGCGTGCATGGAAGCTTGGGTGAAGCCATTAGAGGAGGATAATGGAGAATGACAAGGAGTATATCTCCTTGATCAAGTAAGAAGTGAAGTTCCATAGAGGAAAGGGTGCAGGCAAAGGCACGGGTTCATGTACCTTTAGGTATGAACATCAAGGGTGAGAGTTAGCGAGCAAGGAGAGATGACCTTGTAGACATCTCCCAGTCAAGCAGAGATGCTCTAGAACCTGATTATACATTAGATTTAAGTCTATGAACAATGAAGAATTATTAAATTGGTTTAATGGGGAGTTGAAAATGATACAGTTAGCATTTTCTGAAGATTATTGTTTGAAAGAGCAATAAAGGAGGCAGAGAAGTCATAGAGATATAATAAGTAGAAATTATGAGGTCAGAAAATAGGTTGGTGATATTAGCAATTGAGAGGAGAGAGATTTGAGATGTCCTGAGATAAAATCAGTGACTATTTAAATTGTCCAATTGATGGAAAGGAAAAAAAAAGAGAAAAGGACTCCAATTTTCAATCTGAAAATCTGTCTTAGTAGTTTTGCCAATATAAGGGAAAGAAAGGAGTATTTATAGAAAAAAAAAAAAGAGATCATAGCTTCAAGTTTGGCTATCTTAAATTAAAAGTTTAACAAGAAAATGTATGTGAAGTAATTGGTCCATATTTGTGCATTAAGTAATGAATATTTACTATTATTCTAGATAATTAAATCTAATGTACACCAAATAATAACTGTGTATTTATAAATAATTTAATTTAATTCCTGTAATAGATACTAATATCCTTATCTTATAGATGCAGAAACAAAAGCTTATGTGGCATAAATAACTTGCTCAATATGACCTATAGAGCTCAGGTCCAAATCAAGTTGTCTGTCCACAAGACTTATTCCATCACTGTAACATCATAATTATAATCATTACTATTGCTATTATTATTTCTATTATATATAAAAGGAATTTGTCAGTGAGATTCAGTAGGAAGTTTGATACGTGAATCAGAACTTTGAAAGAAAATGACTTAGTTGCTTGTAGAAATTTAGAAGCCATGAACAGTTAAATGATAGCTGAGGTCAGAAGAGTAGGTGAGATCTTGCAGAGAGTCTACAGGCTCAGAAAGTGAAGAAAAGAGGAAAATTCCGATACTAAATGATGGGCAAAAGAAAAGTATGATAAGGAAAAGAAAAGGAGGTGTCATTGGGAGAAAAAAGGTCTCAGAGAAGGCAAGGGAGAATACGGCTTTGAGAGTATTCATAGTTTTATATATGACTGAGTGATCACACAAGACAATCAAAAGCACAATTAATATACTTGGGCATTGAAAGATCTCTTTCAATTGTGCAAATACATTTATTGGAGAGATTAAAAATATTATCTCAAGAAGCTTAGAGAGGAGAAGAAATAGATAAAATTCCTTTGTTAGAAGGAGAAACCAGTAGCACAAAAGATGGGGAAAGTAGAAGGAAAAAAAAAAAAAAAGAGGTTATGTTGGAAAAATAACCAGAGAAGAAATATTTGAAATTACAAGCACAAGGGAATCCCCTTACTATAGCTAAAACAACTCTCTGCTGAGAGGAAAGGTGGATTATTACACGGATGTAAGGATGTGAAGAGGTGAGCAGTTGAACCTATTTATGTTGACATTTTCATTTTTCTGTTATACAGTCACAGAGAAAATCCTGAGTGGTGAGGTTGACCTTAGTTGGGTTAGGGCAGGGAACTTGAGAGGAATAATGTTTCCCTAACTATGATGGGAATATTGGAAAGACACAAGGAAAAAGTAAAGAAAAGAGACCAAGATTTGTGGAGGCATTGGCTGTAATAAGAAACTTTGGCATTTGTTGTGCTTTTTCTCCAACTTAACCTAACAGCTGAAATATATATGAGACAAAATCAAATTAATACAGACTTCAGATTCAGGAAATTATATATAGATTTAACAGAACCCAATGGAAAAGAGTTTCAAGGAGGAAGACTACCAAACAGTGCCAAAAACAGAGAAATGAAGAATGCACCCAAAAGGGTTGAGTATCAAATTATGGGAGAGTTTGAAATAGTAGTTTTTCAGTAGAATCACAGGAGTAGGAATTATATTGAAAATAATTAAAAAGGAAAATGGATGGGAACTTTCAGTCATCAATATATTTGGCAATGAAAGAGAATGATTGGAAAGTTTGGCAGCAAAATGAGAAAAATTAGGCAATGACTAGAAAGGACAGTAGAACCAAAGAAAAGCTGTTGTGTATCTTTTTCTGTGTGCATTTTAATATAAAGGATGTTTTAACATATTTGTTTATCATAAATGAAGGCAAAATCAAAATCAAATATAAGAAAAGAAATTCAAATTGTATTTTCACTTCCAAAAGACAAAAATGAAGCTTCTTGCCTTTGTTAATGGTTATTTAAAAGTAATGTGATTTCTGGGGGAATTTTATTTTAGAAAATAACACTTGATAATTACCTGTTGAGTAAATAAGGCAACAAACATGATCAGATGCCTGTTTCTTCATGGCTAATGGATTTGGTATCATGATTATTTTTTTTCTCATTCCAAGACCAAAAAAGAATTCTTTGTACTTTCTCTTCCATTATTTTTTGTCACTGTTTGTGTTCTATTTCTCAGATTTTTTGCATAGAGTCTGGCATGTATTATAAAACAAAATGGAAGATGTACAGGTGAACTGGATATTTGTTGGTTATCTTTTTAATATCCTTTTTTCTTTGCTCAAAATTTCCTGATTTCTTTTGGGGATACATATTTTTGCAGGGAATCTGACTCTATTCCACATCAGACTTTATCTTAGTACCTTTGATGAGAAAGCTGTTGCAAAGAAACTTTATTTTTATGATTAGATGAGAGCAAGAAATTGTGCATCCCTCATAGTTAGGATGAGGACTATGTGGAAGACTATAAGGAAACATGTTGAGAGTTTGGATAGAACCTCACCTGAAGACAGCCCTAAAATGGATTTTCAGTCATTTAAATCTATAAAATACCATTATTTGTTTGTTTTTTTTTTCATTATTATTATTAGTGTTAGTAGTAGCATGCTCTGTTGTTGTTAAGTCACTAAGTCCTGTCCTACTCTTTGTGATCCCATGGACTGCAGCATGCCAGGCTTCCTTGTCCTTCACTGTCTCTTGGAATTTGTTCAAACTCATATCCATTGAGTCAGTGATGCCATCCGACAATCTCATCCTCTGTCGCCACCTTCTTTGCTCTCAGTCTTTCCCAGCATCAAGGTCTTTTCCAATGAATCAGCTCTTTGCAGCTGGTGGCCAAAGTATTGGAACTTCAGCTTCAGCATCAGTCCTTCCAATGAATGTTCAGGGTTGATTTCCTTTGGGATTGACTGGTTTGATCTTGCAGTCCAAGGGACTCTCAAGAGTCTTCTCTAGCACCACAACTTGAAAGCATGCTCTAGTACCCAGCATACTTGTCAAGATCCTTGACACAATAGTTAGCCTCCTATATCTCTCACAAAATCTTCTAAGTTGCAAGTCTAATCCAGTAATCTGAATGTTAAAGGTAAATTTATGGTAATTGTATGGTCACCAGTGGTACCAAACTCAAACTGACCTTGATGCGCGTTGGCCCTGCTAGCACCCAGGAAGTGTTATTTACTATCGGCAGACACAGCTGGGACTCCCCGGCTGCAGAAGGCAGCCTATCAGCATTGCCTTCATTAGGCTTCCATATCAGGTTCTGTACTTTCTCTCTTAGTTTAGGTCCTTGAAAGCAGAGCCTGAGAAAAGAGCTTGGGTACAGACAATTTATTTGAAAACTGATCCCACGGATGGCTTCATGAGGGATGGTGATTAGGAAAAACACTCTAAGAAAAGCTCTTTAGAGGAAATAATAATAACAGTAGGAGTACTAAACAATGGAGGCTTAACTATATAAAGCTCAACTTCTAAGAAGCATACAGGTGCCTCCCAGAAATGTCTGTTGCACTTATTCATCAATTCCCATTGTCCATTGGTTAAAGGTTGCCTCTGGGACATTAACTTACCCATGCTTCCAACACTGTGGGCAGAATGCTGAAAGACAGCAGGGGGTCCCTGAGGTAAATTGTCTGTGGTGCCAGGAGAGTCAGAACTGTCTACCATGGCTAAACCTGAGGTCTGAGGTGAGCTGAAATTGTGTGACAGGGCTGTGTAATATTCAGTTCAGAAGTTCCTCTTTATCCTGTGAAATATTTGTACAAGGGTCAGGATTAGAGTCCATGGTCGTAACTTCCTCTTTTCTTCCTTGTCCTGTTTGGATTGCTACTTAAGCCTCTTTATAAAAACACAATGGAAAAATGCAAGAATTAATAACCATGATTTATCTGTTTGAACTTCCAAGCCATGTTTTGGGAGTATTATGGACAAATTTGACATTGACCCCTATTTTTTAATTTTGAAATATAAAAAGTGAGTGGTTTTTATTGACTAAACAAGTTCACCTCATTCTTAGACTGCTGAGTCTAGCAAGTACAAAATATTTCTTGAGGTGAAGAAATGAAATCAAAACAAAGACAATACCTGTAACATATTTTCACAGTAATTTAGCAATATGTAAATTACCTTGTCAGGAGTTGTCAGGAAACTGTATAGACTGTGATACTGAGACAATCAAGTGGATCAAGCAAGGAAAACTGGGCTTAAAAAGCTATATAAATTGGTGGAAGTGACCATATGCATTCTGATGCTAACTGGCACATTGTAGGAAGCAGCTGAAAGCAAATAGTCCCCAAGGTACACTTGTTAACATTGCACTTGTTTATAAAGCTTGTGAAATCAAACATTCAGAATACATCTACTCTCCTTCTGATGACAGGTAAACAGGGATAAACATCAATGGGAGAAGGAAACCAAACTTTTGTGCTTGAATTTACCTTGCTGGGACTTTCACAGGATCCAAAGATCCAAATCTTGCTGTTCTGTGTTTTCCTGGTCATTTACCTTCTCTCTGTTTTTGGAAACCTGCTCATAATTATCCTTATCCAAACTGACCCTCGACTTCACACTCCCATGTACTTCTTCCTCAAAAACTTGTCCTTTGTTGATCTTTGTTTCTCTACAAGCATCGTTCCCCAGATGTTGGTCCACTTCCTTGTAAAAAAGAAAACCATTTCCTTTGCTGGGTGCTCACTACAGATAGCTGTCTTCCTCCTAGCAGGGTGTACAGAGTGTGTTCTTCTGGCGATGATGTCCTATGACCGTTACGTGGCAGTCTGCAGGCCCCTACACTATTCTACTCTCATGACCCAGAGGGTTTGTATCCAGTTGGCCACAGTGTCCTGGATCAGTGGGGCATTTGTATGTTCAGTGGACAGTGCATTTACACTCTGTCTCCCCTACCAGGGGCAGAACATAATTAATCATTATTTTTGTGAACCTCCTGCACTCCTGAAGCTGGCTTCTGTAGATACCTACAATGCTGAGATGGCCCTCTTCTCAATGGGTGTGATTGTTCTCCTAGCTCCTGTCTCCCTCATCCTGGTCTCTTACTGGCATATTATCTCCACTGTGATCCGGATGCAGTCAGGGGAGGGGAGGCTCAAAGTGTTCTCTACCTGTAGCTCCCATCTCACTGTTGTGGTTCTCTACTACGGCTCTGGAATATTTGCCTACATGAGACCCAATTCCAAGACAATGAATGAAAGGGATAAGGTCATTTCTTTGTTCTATTCAGTTATGACTTCAATGCTGAACCCCATAATTTACAGCCTGAGGAACAAGGATGTGAAGGGAGCTCTGAGCAAACTGGCTGGAAGATAGTCAACATTCAGAGGCAATGATTTTTGATATTTTGAAAAAGTACTTTGAGCACTGTGATATACAACAATAGCTCTACTAGCTTCATTCTTTTCTTTCCTTGCCTTGTTTACCTCAGTTGATCTTCTTCTCTACAAATATTCACTGAATGCCTTCCCTATGAAAACACTGTGCCCAGAACCTCAAAATATGAGTAAATTAATGCCTTTCTTAAAAAAAACTTGAAATTCACAAGATAACACAAATATAACTCTTTTAAGAGGTAACTCTTTTAAAAGCTAAATAAAGAAGAAATATTTTACAAACTTTTGCACAACAGAGGAAACCATGAACAAAATGAAAACCTATATTTGCAAATGATGGAACCAAGAGCTTAATTTCCAAAACACACAAACAGCTCAACCAACTCAATAACAACAACAACAACAACAAAAAACCCAATCAAAAAACGAGCAGAAGACCTAAACAGACGTTCCTCTAAAGAAGACAGTCACTGTCACTGTGCATGTGTATGTTCAGTCGAGTCCAACTGAGCACAGCCCTGTGGACTGTAGCCTGCCAGGCTCCTCTGTTCATGGAATTTTCCAAGTGAGAATACCGGAGTGGGTTGCCATTTCCTACTCCAGGGGATCTTCTTGACCCAGGGATTGAACCTGGGTCTCATGAATCTCCTGCACTGGCAGGTGGATTCTTTACCACTAGTGCCACCAGACAGTTGGCCAATTGGCCCCTGAAAAGATACCCAACATTGCTAGTTATTTGAGAAATGCAAATCAAAACTATGAGAAGTCACCTCACACTGGTCAAAATGGCCATCATTAAAAAGTCTACAGAGAACAAATGCTGGAGGGGGCTGTGGAGAAAAAGGAATCCTCCTTCACTGCTGATGGGAATGGAAATTGGTGCAGCCACTAAGGAAAACCGCGTGGTCATGCCTTCCTTTTAGGAGAAAGACAATGATTAAACAGAAAATTAAACTTGGTAATCTGCATAACTTTAAGTAAGTGAAAGTCACTTAGTCATGGACTATACAGTCCATGGAATTCTCCAGGCCAGAATACTAGAGTTGGTAGTCGTTGCCTTCTCCAGGGGATCTTCCCAACGCAGGGATTGAACATGGGTCTCCTGCATTGCAGGCGGATTCTTTACCAGCTGAGCCACAAGGGAAGCTATGTGAACACAGGATCACAATTTAAAAAAATTTTTTTTTTAATTTTTTAATTTCAATGTCTAAAGAAATCTTATTGATCATATTATCTATCTAATGCTTTAATCTCTGTAATTTTCTTAATTAACTCACACCAAGCTTTTTTATTAAAATGTCTGGGAGGTCTACATTCATTATATTCTAGCCACAATTACTTTCTTTTTCTTCCTCAAAAATGAAAAGTGCATTCAACCTCCAGTCATTAGCACTGGATATTCCCTGCATCTGGAATTTTCTGCTAATCAGCCTTGGTGCACTTAATTCATACTCAACATTGACAGTTCATTCTCAGCAAAACTGTCAGCTCACTAGGGCCTTCACCAAACACACAGTCTAAGACAACACCCTTTCCAGTCACTCTCTATCTCCATTATTGCTTGCTATTGTGCTTATGGGACTTCTATCTCTGAAATTATTCATTTGGAAACATCCTGATTAAAACCAACTTGAAAGATGGAATGACAAAATTAATAAAAATCCAAGATCTGTAAAGGGAATCTGGCTATAGTGGTGTGTCATAAATATAAGAAGGAAAAAGACTGAAGAAATGAGAAGTACTCAATAGTGCAAAAGGATAGTCAAAAGATTAGATAGTACTCAAATGCAAAAGGATAGTCAAAAGATTAGAACTGAAAGACTGCTCATCAAAGAAGAAGAGATATTGGATAGGTGCCTGCAGGCAGTGCTTTTGTTATTCATTTTTTTATCCATGATCTAGTCATTTCCTGTTGGCAACAAGAATCCTCTTATAAATCCACTTATAAAATCAATATGGGATGAAATTATATGATATTTCAATTCCTTTCCAGTTCTAATATAATACGACTATGTCCCAAATAATTAATAATAATTCAGAAAATTAAATAAGTATTAATATTGAATTATATACTTCAATAACTCAATACAGTATCCTTCTTTCTGATTCCCTTCAGTGTAGTAACTGGTTATTCCATATCTTATGTCCGTCATTCTCTTTTGTTCTATTTTATACAGTTTTTACTGAATCAACAAGTGTTCCTCTAAAAAGATTTTATCTGAGTTTTTAACCTTATAAAAGTTATTCCTATTCCTTATAAAAGTGTTCTGTACTTTTTATTTTTAAAAAATCCCTGTCACAGAAACAGGCACACAGACATACAGAACAGACTTGTGGACACATTGGGGAAGGAAAGGGTGGGACTAATTAAGAAAGTAGTATTGACATATATACAGTATCATGTGTGGAATAGGTAACTAGTGGGAAGCCACTGTATAACACAGGGAGCCCAGCCAGATGACACAGAGGGGTGGGATGAGAGCAGGGAGGGAGGCTCATATGTGTATAATTACAACTAATTCCCATTGTTGTACAGCAGAAAGCAACACAACATTGTAAAACAATTCTCCACCAATTTAAAAAAATTTATCTGAGTTTTTAACCTTATAAATGAAGTACCATGATACATAATCTTTAGGGCTCTTTTTTTCACTTAATATTAAATTGCTGAATTATTTGTTTTGTTGTATGTCCTTCTGGTTCCTTTGTTTTGATTGCTGCATGATATTCTTTTGTGTGAATATTTATCTATTCCATTGTTGGTGGACATAAAGCTTGTTTCCAGTTTTTTTTTTTTTTAATTGTGAATAATGTGCTCTTACATTTCACATGTGTAAAACCTTCTTTTGGGTACATTCTTTTTATGAGAAAAATAAAAAATCTTTTATTTTATTTCTTTTGTTGTACTTCTGCAATAATTTTCTTGAGCAAGTTCTTTTTATAATCAGAATGTAAAAAATGTATTTTTCATATGCTTAAAATTGAAAGAAAAAAGATATAACTTCAGCAGCAGTTTCAGAATTTTCTGGAAAAATAAGTGATTAAAAAGAGACTAAAGAATGAGAAGGACCTGGCAAAAAATTGGGTGAGGGAATGGCCTGAACTGAAGCAGTGATGGATAGAGGCAGGTGCTGTATCATTCATTACCTTAGAAGCAGCTGAGTCCACTTGAACTGAGAGCAGGAACATGCACACATGTGTGCTCATGAATTAATGAAAGAAAAAGGGAGAAACAAAAAATTTAAAAGTCTAGAAAGTTTCAATAAATCAGTTTGATACTAATTAAAGCTCAAGGAAGGAAGGCCTGATATGAACAGAAGCACTGCAAAGTTCATTTGTCTCTGGCTGATAATGGCCCAGGCTAGAGGCACAAGTTGGGAGACGGGGAGCGGCAGCATTTACAGAACCCACAAGATACACTTTGTAATTTGGAAAGAGAGCTAACCAGGGGCCCTTGCTTCTTAGGTCATTCACTGACACTGTCTATTTAGTAGGACTTTGGAAACAGCCTCTGTAAATCCACGTGAGGGCAGCATAGCCCTCAGGCCTCAGAGCTCATTTAGTGGGTAAAGTTTGCTGGAGTTGGAGGCCAGGAGACATGCCTGGAAGAGTCATTAAAATTTTGTTTCCTGGAGCAGCATTTTCAGGGGAGGTCATGTCAGCTGAGGGGATGAGACCATGATGCCTCCCCCAGGACAGGGCCCCAGCTCACTGTCGCCCCAGGGACAGTGAGGCTGGTGTAGAATCTCCATTGGGCAGCTCCTTTTATACATTTTTAGTCAAATTCCTTCTCATCTTTTTTTGTGGCTCCCAGTAAGATAGAAATACCTGAAAGTCTGAGTACCTGGACTCAAGAATTCAGTTAGAATGATGCCAAGGCTCTGAAGGCTTTCTCGCAAGGAGAATGGACAAGAGATGTGTATAGAGATTTAACTCCTTGCTTCCCCAGGATCCTGCCCTAGGTTCTCATCTTCTCATTGACATCCATTTCCACCCCCAGAGAGGACTGGCAATGTGACTGGAGGTGTCTTTGACCTTTGATTTCAGTCACAGCTGTACACCTGCCTACATCCTCCCCTGCCAGAAGAACCATCACCTCTTTCTTCATCTTCTTGAACATCTTCATCCCTCAGATGACTCCCAGGGCAGTAGGTATACTCAGGCAGCTGAACCCCTCCCCATGTGAGGTAAGGGCTCTTTCTTTGTTTCAAGAAAATTGAGTGGAATCTGGGTCTTGAGATATATGGTCAAGACCTCACTGCTCTGCTTCTTAGATTCTCAGTCCCTCAGCCATTATAACGCATCCATTCCCTTCTATACTTTAGGTACCTTTACATATACCCACAATTGATCTGTTCCACTGGCAAGACCTGGGTTCCTATACTTCCTGATGCTGGCATCCTGGTAAAAGTTTCAGTATTATCTCTAGACCTAGATTATCCTGGCCTCAGATGGTCTGAGGTGTACCCACAAAAGACTGGGATCTCAAAAGAGGATGATCTAAAATCAGTTTAAGTGCCTGTTTGATATATGCCTGCTTGATATTAAAGTCCAATGCTACAGAAAAAGCTAATTGAAGTCAATGACTATTTTAAAGTATGCTAACAGTGATACAGAGTAATAACATAAAGATGTGATTCCAAATTTTTAACTCCATCTTCTTCGTTGGCTTTGTCTGACCATTTCCTATAATTTCAGCAATGCCCCTCTGTTAATCTCAGTTTCTAGTCTCTTCCCTTGATCTGAGGTATTCACCCATCACCAGCAGTGTTTCAGAAGGGGGCTCATCCTGTGTAGGCATACTATATGTTTTCTGGCATTTATCTTCAGATGACCATAGTGGAGACAAACTAGAGAATGGAAGGAGGAAAGAGCAGGGCTCTGAATCAAGGGGAGGAAGACAGATAGAAAAGATCTTGAGTCCTGAGGATCACCACTTTACTTAAGTCCTGCTTTTTCTTTTAAGTCCTGTCCAAATTCCTGGAGCATAAATCTGGATAAATATAACAAGTTAATTATTTTATTCCCTTTATTAATATATCCATTCATCTTTTTAATTAAAGGAAAGTGTTTTAAGTCATGTATATACTAGGAACAGTACTAAGAATTGTCTTTGAATTTGTGTTTTTGTTGCTGCCAATGGGCAAAGAAGTTCTTCAGTCAGTATTTCTTAGTTTCAACGTATAGACCTGGTTTTATGAGGGCAGAGAAAGATTTCAGACCCCAAAGAATGATGAAACAGCTTTACAAGAAGATGATTTTCTGGTTGACTTCTTGCCTAGACTTCATTGTGGCACAAGTGCGAGGAGGATACTTTACTTGTACTGCTTCAATGTTCTGACCTTTATAGTGCAATCTCCTCTTTCTGCTATTGCACTCTGACCTTAGCCCCCTTATATTCATCTGTAGCCTGTAGCTTGTATAAGTGACATAGAAGTGATCATATAAAGTTTCCTTTCCTCACACTTCACTTAGATAGACTCATAGTATGTTATACTTTCCTTCGTATTTCATTGCCAGTAGATGTGTGTAGGTGTTTATGTAGTGGGCTTTTTACATCCATGCAATTTCCCTAGCATCAAATATAGTACCTGGTCTGTTGTAAGCACTTAGTAAATATTTATGGAGTGAATGAAAGGAACTAGATCAATTGGAAAAGCCTTCCAATTTTAGGATTTTATCATCTAACTACTGAGATGTCCCAACCCTAAGCTGACGACGTTGGTGACATAAACTGAAGATAGAGGGGTCAGAGCAGAGGATACAAAGGAAAGATGAAATATTTGGTAGATTATTCTCTTCTTTTCCAGAGTGCCTCCTGAGTCCTCCGTCCGACTCTGAAAACTAAGTAGCACTGTTCCACACACCACTTGGTCTCCCGCTCAAACCTTTCCACCAGTACTTCCACATAGATTCAGGGCTCAGCAGAACCAGCGTCTTTCCTCACACAGCTAATACTATGAGATAGAGGATCTCTTTTTTTGTTCAAGATCTTACTTTGACTTTCAAGTGATGGGTTGACTTTGGACCTTTTCTATAAATTCCCTCTTTTATAACTCACCCCTTCTATTGTGTACCCTAAACACAAATACCTTGCCATATCTTCTCAAATCTCATGCATCACCTTCGTTTCTATCCTCATTCCTCCTGAACAAACATCTTATCATTACCTGAAAATAGGCAAACATCTATTGTACTGTTCCTGAATATGAACCTCCAAAATCTATACTATCCCAGTGATTCAGTCACGCACAGAATTCCTCTTCCCTTCCGTAAAGTAGCAGTATGCTCATCAAGGATGTGAGGACAGTTCAAGAACACAAGAGACTAAGTGGTCCAAGAGCCAAGAGGTTCCCCGTTGAGAAAACTGTTCAGAACAATGAGACTGGAAAATGAAGCCAGATGTCTAGGGGAGCAGAAAAACAGAATTGGAATCCCAAGGAAATTTAAAGCAGAAAAGCAACTGGATTAAAAGCCAATGTGCAGAGTATTTTTTTGTTGGGAAGATAGCTATGGTTTTATCTGTTTACAAAGATATTTGCTTGGGTTCATTCTTTTGGTTATCTTATTTAAAGATGACAGGCTATGACCACTATGCTTATTTCTAACTTATAGGATACTTTATAATAATTTAATGAAAAGATTCATAAATTCAGAAGACAGAAGGCAAACCTAGCTACCAAGAGGAAAAGATATCATCTCATGGAATTCTTATTGGTAATTCCATAGTGATGTTAGGCAACACAAAACTAGGGTAATCTCCCTTAGAAAGGCTTTCATCAAGACCGTCTGGTTCTACATAACTAAAGAAACAACACAGAATGGAGCACTGGAACTCCACCCTGGGAAGTGGCTTCATATTGATGGGGATTCTGAATGACAGTTTGTCTCCTGAGCTGATCTGTGCTACAATCACAGTCCTGTACATGCTGGCCCTCACAAGCAATGGCCTTCTGCTCCTGGCCATCACAATGGATGCCCGGCTCCACGTGCCCATGTACCTCCTGCTCGGGCAGCTCTCTCTCATGGACCTCCTCTTCACGTCTGTTGTCACTCCCAAGGCCTTCATGGATTTTCTGCTCCATGAAAACACCATCTCCTTTGGGGGCTGTGCCCTTCAGATGTTCCTGGCACTGACCCTCGGTGGTGCAGAGGACCTCCTACTGGCCTTCATGGCCTATGACAGGTATGTGGCCATTTGTCATCCTCTGAACTACATGGTCCTCATGAGGCCGAGGGTCTGCTGGCTCATGGTGGCCACATCCTGGGTCCTGGCTTCCCTGAGTGCTCTAGGACATACCTTGTACACCATGCACTTCCCTTTCTGCATGTCCCAGATCAGCCACCTGCTTTGTGAGATCCCACCTCTGTTGAAGTTGGCCTGTGCAGATACTTCCAGATATGAACTCATGGTGTATGTGACAGGTGTGACTTTCCTCTTGCTCCCCCTTTCTGCCATTGTTTCCTCCTACACACTAATCCTACTTACTATGCTCCACATGCCCTCAAATGAAGGGAGGCAGAAAGCCCTGGTCACCTGCTCTTCCCACTTGACTGTGGTCGGGATGTTCTATGGAACTGCCACATTCATGTATGTTCTGCCCAGTTCCCTCCACAGCCCCAAGCAGGACAACATCATCTCTGTATTCTACACGATTGTCACCCTAGCCCAGAACCCCCTCATCTACAGCCTGAGGAATAAAGAGGTTATGGGGGCCTTGAGGAGGGTCCTGGGAAAATGCATACTATAGACATACCTCCTGACACAGTTACTAAGTAGATGTGGTAGTTGTTGTTCAGTCACTCACTGGTGTCTGACTTTTTGTGATCCCATGGACTGCAGCACTCCAGGCTTCCCTGTCCTTCACCATTTCTCCCGGAGCTTGCTCAAACTCACATCATTTGAGTCGGTGATGCCATCCAACCATCTTGTCCTCTGTCATCCCCTTCTCCTCCTGCCCTCAATCTTTCCCAGCATCAGGGTCTTTTCTAATGAGTCAGCTCTTCACATCAGGTGGCCAAAGAACTGGAGGTTCAACTTCAGGATAAGTCGTTCCAATGAATATTTAGGACTGATTTCCTTTAGGATGGATCTCCTTGCAATTCAAGGGACTCTCAAGAGTCTTCTCCAACACCACAGTTCAAAAGCATCAATTATTCAGTGCTCAGCCTTCATAATGGTTCAACTCTCAAATCCATACATGACTACTGGAAAATCCACAGATTGACTAGACAGAACTTTGTGGGCAAAGTAATGTCTCTGCTTTTTAAATGCTGTCTAGATTTGTCTTAGCTTTTCTTCCAAAGAGCAAGTGTCTTTTCATTTCATGGCCACAGACATGATAGACTACGTTTCAATTTCAATATCATATAGCAGTGATAGTGATATAGCTAATAACAGACTGAGCAAACTCCAACAGCCTCTTAAAATCAGAGGCGGACTGCTTTCATTTGAACTAGATTTTTAGTTGTAGAGAGAAATATCTTCAGAAGACATCTTGGGCTTCTTGTCTTGTTAGGCAGATGGTTGTTCAAGCAATTAGTTGGAAAGAATAATGAATTTGTGACTGTATTTGTACAAGTACTTACGTTGAAAGTGTTACAGTGAAATTGTTAGTCACTGTGTCGTGTCCGACTCTTTGCAATTGCATGGACTGTAGCCCGCCAGTAGCCACTGTAGTACCACTGTAGCCAGTCGCTCCTCTATCCATGGGATTCACCAGGCAAGAATACTGGAGTGGGTTGCCATTCCCTTCTCCTGGGGATCTTCCTGACCCAGGGATCAAACCTGAGTCTCCCACATTGCAGGCGGATTCTATACCATCAGAGCCACCAGGGAAGCCCTTATGTTGAGATAAATAAATGTACATTTTTATACTGCCTGAAATTAAAATTATGGAAATGAATAAAATGGAATGTGGAAATTCTCAAATTTCAAGTGAAGACTGGAGATACAATAGCAGGGAGAGTCATGTGATGTGTATTTGCTTGATTTAAATATACATATATATACATATATATATATATATAATTTACATACAGACAGACCTGTTTTGAAACATCAAAATAATTGCATGGTAAGTATATGTATATGTCTATGTCCACAGGAAAGGAAGACTACCAAATATAATTCACTTTCTATTAGCTTAGAACGAAATTTAGTCGCTCAGTCGTGTCTGACTCTTTGCGATCCCATGGACTGTAGCCATCCAGTTTTCTCTGTCCATGGAATTCTCCAAGCAAGAATACTGGAGTGGGTTGTCATTCCCTTCATCAGCAGATCTTCCCGACCCAGGGGTCGAACCCAGGTCTCCCACGTTGGCAGGCAAATTCGTGACCATCTCAGCTACCAGGGAAGCATATCTATTAGTTTAGATATGCTTTATTTTTATCATTCAATGTATCAGTGTGGGAAGATTTATAACAAAAACTGGAAAATAAAATCTGTTCAGTTGAGAATCTCCAAAAACAACTTGGCTCACATAGTTGAGATTATTTTTGAGGTAATGCTTTGTTAAAACTCAGAAAAACTTTCTTTCTGTATAAAAACTGTCTTAGATTGCTTCATCTATTAAGATAAATGATAATACAAATATAATAATCTATGGAACTAATCCATGTTCATCATAAAAACAGAAAACTTGAAACTTGATAAAGAAGCCAAAATCACTTATTAAGTTTTCTAGTTTTTGCTTTTTCATATATGTATTTTACTGAATAGTTTTGTACATTTTGGTTAAAATTCTGTTATTTCTTTGTTGTTGTTTAAGATTTGGTGAACTTCTTCCTGTGAAGAAGGAACACTATAGTGTAGGGCTAGAGAGAGACAGTAGCAGGGAGGGAGTGTTGAGTCCTTTTATCATCTGTGCATCTTTGAACATTAAATTAAACCACATGTTTCTCAGTTTGCTCATCTGAAAAGCAGTGATATTAATAGAACTCGTGATGATTTCATGATGTTTTAGGGAGTCTTGAATAAGATGATAAGGCACTTAGACCAGTGCTTGGCAAAGTGTTTAAACCATGCTGCTGCTGCTGCTCAGTCGCTTCAGTCGTGTCCGACTCCATGCGACCCCATAGACGGCAGCCCACCAGGCTGCGCTGTCCCTGGGATTCTCCAGGCAAGAACACCGGAGTGGGTTACCATTTCTTTCTGCAATGCATCAAAGTGAAAAGTGAAAGTGAAGTCGCTCAATTGTGTCCGACTCTTTGCGACCCCATGGACTGCAGCATACCAGGCTCCTCCTGGAAAACCCATGGGATTTTCCAGGCAAGAGTACTGGAGTGGGCTGCCATTGCCTTCTGCGTAAACCATGCTAACTATTACATGACTAACTAGTAAATATTCTTAATAAAACTGCATTTCAAATGACTACATGATGTCATCATATGAATCTGCTATAATATATTTAGGATTTCCTTACACTTAATTTTGTCTCTCCAAATTTTCCTACATAAGGGTATATATTATGTTATGTCAAATTGTAGAAGTGGAAATAGTGGGGTGCAAGCCAAGAAACTTCTTTTAAATTCTTGTTATAAAGAGCCAGATTGCTAACAAGTAATTTAGAAACCCTTTCCATCCTGTCATAATGTTGAGCTGGAAGTGCCTGTTTATTGTACACTTTATGGAGCTGTCTTATCATTTGAACTTGCTTTGCTTATTTATTAAACATATCAATGAAAATGTAACAGCTGTTTTCATTTATATTACTTATTTTGCTTCATCTAATGAGGTTTTTTTTTGTAGCTGTTTGTAGATCCTTACATTTCCCATTCTTTGTTCAGAAAATATTTTCAAATTTCTTTTAGATTTGCTTAATAATTTTGTAAGTGACATTCGACTTTTTAATCTGCAGTTTATATAGGTATATGATGAATGATGAGCTTTAAGTTCTGTTTCTAAATAGCTGATTTTCTTACTAGTATTCTTAATCACCTTTCCATAGTATGTGTTTATTATTACTGTTACTGTATTTATAGTTGCTTGACTATATGCTGTCTTGTAACTCTAGCAGTAGAGAATGTTTCTGCTCCTGTTCTCTAGTTCCACTGGTCAATAAAGAGTCTCTGTTTCCATTTTTCCTCACCAAAATTTTCTTAGGTTTTATCAGGTTTATTCTTCCTGATGAATTTTTGAATCATCTGCTAACTGTCCAAAAAACCCCACTGGTATATTGTTGTGATTGTATTTAACTCATACACTGATTTGGAAATGCTATCTTTTTGCAGTATTCAGTCTTAACTCCCAGGAATATACTATCCCATTGCCTCACCCAATAGAATTTGTTTGTTATTCCCTAAAAATACCATTTCACATCTTGACTCTCTCCTTATGACTTGCATCATACATTGCAGGGAAAGGGGGAGTAGTTACATAGAACTTCGTCATCTTCCACTACCAGCTTGACTAGCATAGCTGCACGTAGTGTTTTTATCTTTGGAAGAGCCCATCATATTCTCCAGGACAATCCATGTTGCTACAAATGGCAGAATTTCACTCGTTTTTAAATGGCTGAGTTATTTTTCATTGTTAAAATTTAAAAAGTGCCCATGAGAGACCAAACACTACACTAAGTACTCTTGAACCAAGTTCTCTTACTATTCAAAGAAATAGGTATTAGAATTATCTGCTTCTGCTCCACAGCATTTCTTTACAGAAATATTGCTAAAGTTTACACATCTGCTCCAGTAACCCCCATCTTAAAGAACTCTTCTTTGAAGTCATACTCTCCCCTCCAGTTACTACTCCATTTCTCAGAGCAAATCATCTTACCAGAAACTATCGGTTTAGGACATAACTGTATATATAGCTACAGGTCCTTTCCTACTATTCAGGATACATGCCACTGTAATCAGGTTCCCTTCCACTCCATACCCAGAGCACTGCAGTTGTGCTTGTCAATTAAACAGGTTTGTGATTCATCGTCCGACAAAGAAAATATAGTTTGTATATTTTATAAAATGGTAAAAGTGAACTTTAATTACCCATGATAACCAATGACCATGAAAAGACTTTAGAGATTAAAAATTAAATTCCATAGAAGATACAACAAATATTTATAATCTACATGTCTCAGAAAAATTTTGAACAACTTGTAGGAACTCCCAACACTGCTAACTGTACAGAATTCCATTGTTATTAATGTTTTTAGTCTTATACTCAGTGTATGTGTTCCTACATGATTTTCTCTCTGGAATTGCACTCCTTCTTACAGACATAAAAAATTCTGCTCATTTCCCAAAACTCCATTTTTATTTTCTTTCTTTTTTTTTTCATTTATTTTTATTAGTTGGAGGCTAATTACTTTACAATATTGTAGTGGTTTTTGTCATACATTGACATGAATCAGCCATGGAGTTACATGTATTCCCCATCCCGATCCCCCCTCCCA